CGCCGCCGAGCGGAAAACGATCGCGATCGGCTGTCCCGCCGTAGTAGCATACTGCGTCTCCTCCACAAGAAGCCTATAGTCCCCCACTGGTCCGCCATACGCAATGGGGATCTGGAACTGCTCGTCTACGATGTTGTTGCTATTGGGAGCGATGCCCTCCGCTAGGAGGAACTGGGTGCCCGAGCCGTCCGCTGCCTGAAGGTACAGGTCGATATGGTGCGTCTTGACGTGCGTCACTCCCTGGGAATTCGTGTACGGCTGGTCGACACCTTGGTAGACGACGTGTCCGAGCCCGAAACCTGCAACGTGTGTGAGATATGATTTTGTGAAAGGGGAGAAGAAACTTACTACTCGTGTTGTCCCAATCGGCGCCGCCTTGTGGCTGCTGGAGAGTGCCACTTGGACCGGGTCCGTCGCGCTTCCAGTTGAGGTTGGGCATGGCCAGTGCACTCGAGAGAAGGGCGAGGAATGTGATGGAGAGAGTCGTGAACTTCGTGACGGTCGTTAAATGTGCTTGAGATGCGAGATGCGAGTGATGTATTAAAGCGAGTCGTTGAAAGATGCGAGTGCTGAGCTGTTGATGTGAATGCGAGTGAGTGCTTGTTGTTGCTGAATCTTTGGTCATAATTTTCGTGCTCCTTATATACATTTTCACTTCCTCAAGGATACCAGTTTTTGTTCAAGCCCAGAGAAGTTAACACGTCAGAACCGGAGCAACCTCCCGAGAGTCCTCAACGGCGCAAGACAATTTCCATGCTTCACCAAACGAAAGCGATGTTTCCAAGTACTCCAATGTCGTCATTCCACATGCATTTCAACTTCCGTCCTCATGGGTTTAATCTCCCGTTTTCAAGGGATGCACAGTGGGCAAATGACAAGTGAACATCATGGTCGTTGTTGTCTCTTTTCAGCACAGGACGGTTTCCCCGCGAACGGCGGATCCGGAGAAGCAGGACCCTGAGGTGGCTGAAACAGAAGCTTCATAATCACAGCCACTACCACTGGTGAAGTTTTTTCAGTCCCAATACAAAAGTTGTCCTTTCCTCACTTCTCACTCTCATGAGGAGCGCATTGAATACGCTTGTGATATACTGGCTCGATAGCCTCTATACTGCTGATCGCAATCGATATTCTCTCATCACTGGAGATTGCGCTTATTCGCTTGTCTCGACCAGGAAATACCAGGGAATATGACGAACTTACTATATTGTTCACTGTAGTTTGTTTGGCCCCTTTACCCCATGGGTCATGGTCAATACGACGCACTGCATCGCCGACCAAACTTCCACTATGACGTCCACACAGCTTTGGCTATCCCCGCTTGGCCCTCGCTGTCTTACACCCTCATTGTCTTACACCGTCAGGGTACCGACATCTCATGACAGCCTCTTCATCCCTTGGCTTCGGGGCTGCGGTGAGGCTCTCCTAGCGTCCACCAACCTCGGATGCACGGGACGTGCGCGCCGAAGAGCATGTGGAATGACGTCTTTGAACCCTGCGTGAACATCGCCTTCGCGGGGAAATCGTCGCGGAAACGCGTCTTGCGTGGTGATGTTTCGTGGGATGCGTCTAGGGCTACGAAAATCTGGTTCTCTCATTGCTCTCTTATGACTTCTTGAGGCCCGAGCTGTCTATAAATGTGATCTCGAACCACGAGATGAAGACTACAACAGCAGCATTTGAAGCACTCGCAGCCTCGCCTTCACATAGAACATACCAAGAGCACCCTTCGCAGCAGCAATCGACCATATAAGAATTGCCCCAGCTTACAGCATGAAGTTCTCAGCCATCTCTCTGGCCGCTATGTCTCTGTTTGCGGGTGCGCTGGCCGTACCTGCCGTGCAGAAACGTGATGGTCCTGGGCCTTCTGGCCAACTGCAGTTGCCGCAAGGCAACGCGGTCTGGGACAACACAGGAGGTTAGTACCACATTCACCAGTAATGAGCATCATCTCATCTTCCTTTCCGTAAGATTTGGCCTCGGACACGTTGTCTACCAGGGAGTTGACCAAGACTACCACAACTCTCAGGGTGTCACCCACGTGAAGACGCACCACATCGACGTCTCCCTGCAGCTCGCAGCCGACAGCAACTACTTTATCCCTATCGCCAAAGGCCTAGCTCCCAACTCCAATAACATCATCGACGTCCAATTCCAGGTCCCCATCGGGTACGGTGGCCCGACGGGCGAGTGCTACCTCGTCATCGAAGAGACCCAACTCGGTACCACCCCCGGCCAGCCTATCGCCATCACCTTCCGCTCCGCAGCACCGTTGATCAACGTTGTCGCTGGACCCACCCCTTCTCAGAGCCAGAACGCGAAGCGTGACGCGCCCGGCCCTTCGGGCACTCTCCAGCTGCCGCAGGGTAACGCTGTCTGGGACAACACCGTCGGGCTCGGCCACGTGGTGTACCAAGGCGTCGATCAGCCGTACACCAACTCCCAGGGTGTGACCCACGTCAAGACACACCACATCGAGATCTCGCTCCAGCTCGAGGCTGATAGCAACGAT